TAGCTCATCTCTCTATTTAAATAATATTGCAATATCTAATTCTAATCTCACAAATCTAATCTTCTACACAGATAGATTAGTTCACAACTTGATGACTAATCACTACTCCATAGGTATCGAATGGGTACAAGTTGAGAACAACTCTATAACAAATTCTTTTGCTGCACAAGTCTAATACTGGCTATCATCTTATAAAACAGAACTACTCGCAATACTATCAGCAATCAGCATAGCTCCTTGCTATTGCAAAATTAATATCTATACAGACTCATAATCTGTAATAGACAAATATCAAAAACTTACTCAAACAACAACAAACCCTTCATATTACTACTTATATAACAATTGGCCCATCTGGTATACTTTACTCAATCTTATCAAATCCTATAAACTCACTATTATACTCCACAAAGTATTAGCTCATAGTGATAATAATCTTAATAATATAGCTAATACACTTGTACAAAACTATCAAACACTTCTATTTCTTGAATTTAAACATACTAACTTATACAATCCAAACTTCTATATCATTTAGAAAAACTTTTTCATAGAACAATCTATACGTAAGTTAATTAAAACAATATGCAATGCTCATACTATTGCAATGTAGTCATCCCAAAACTATAATCAAATATGGGCTCATCTATATAACCAAATTAACTGGAACTCCACTTGGTTATATCTCAACAATAACAACAAATGATCACACAAATTCACCAACTTCAAACTCAGCAAACTTAAAACTTTTCGCATTAAACTTCTTTATAATGAACTACCAATACTATCATATCTTCACAAATATTATCCAAACTACATACCAGACAACAAATGCTTTAAATGCAACCAAACAGATACAAAACTCTACTGGATAACAAATCATAATACTAATATATTACAAGAAATTATCTCGCAATCAGTAACAGAAATTCTTAACTCTACAAACCTTGAAATTACTCAAGTACAATTCTAAATACTACAAAATCTAATTACTTATCACTCTTTACTTCAACTATCTACAATCCTTTTGATACTATCAACTTATATACCTCACTTAAAGGACTTCTTTCACATGCTCTTATTCAATCAATTCTACTATATACTAATTCACTCCATATAGCTACACAGATAATTATTAAGTTGTTTCTTAAACTTAATTCAAAAATTTATTAGCAACTATAGTTACCATATTGCTCTGAATATGCTAACTGGAAGCATCAATATAATATTCACATACCATATTCAAACTTCCAACAAAATAGTAGAAACAAACAACTACTAGTAATATCAGTTATTAATTACAAAATTGACTTAAGTTGGTTAGTCGACTTAACCAAACTGATTTTTATAAAGTTGACTTAACCATATATAAGTAGTACAAGCTCCAAAAAAAGAAACGAATAATTAAAAAATATTATATGTATTAATATAAAAATATATTAAATAATTCAACCATAATATTTAACTAAAAAAAAATTTTTTTCGATTTTTACTATATACGTATAACTTATATACTATATTTTGTGGGCTAAACTACTTTTTTTCTGTTAGATTGTACTAATAATTCTATTATATATTAAACATATAATACTATTTTTTTAATTACATTTAATAAATATAATATGTATCTCAAAGATACCCACACCTCAAATGATCTACAAACAATAGAATATATTCTAAAAATAATTATTCTAAATTAATATATTAGTTAAATTCAGTTAATTATAGTACTTTGCAAAAAGATGTAATTACATGATTTTTGTGAAGAAAATTTTTAAGATTTTAGATTACTACTTTAAATTTTCGATCGATTATATTTGAAATCGCCAAAATTCTTAGAATCTATAGAATCACAAATTTTCAAATGACATAATAATCTTCGAAGACTATACCTTTTTGCAAAGCACAATAAAATCATTGATTAGTAAGAATTTAGAATTCCAATTAAATAGTTTAGAAAATTCTAAAAATCAAAAACATATATAAAATTTCTCATGATGTAATGATCTAGTTTAATTATCAGTATATCTTTTTAAAATAGTTAAAATCCTAGAATAACACAATTGTAGTAATCCATTTTGTAAACACTATCCTGGCAGCTAAAACATACTCATTCTAACTAATAATCTACTAAATATATTTGCGTAATAGTCATATAAAGACAGAAGAGCAAATTAATACTAATTGATGATTATAATAAATATATACCTATGCTAAATAGATGCTAACTAAAAAAGTATAATAATTAAAAGCTATTGTTAAATTCAAAAAAAAAATTATATACCTATAATAAGTAAAGTATTAAATAAGGCTGTGTTAATATACGTCAAAATTATATATTGAATATTTAAGATTCATATAAAAAAAAGAAAAAATAAAGACAAATTTAAAAAAGCAAATAATTGATACTACTGCTATTATTTCAAATAAAAGCAACTTTATTGATTAAAAAATTAAATAAGACAAAAAAAATTTATCTAAAATATTTATAACAAAAGATAATTATAAAAATTAGTTCATCGAGTTAGTTATTATGAATCAAGAAAATTCTTTTACTTTTCAACCTAATTCAGCAGAAGATAATTCTGATTCTATTTCAATTATACCTTTTGAATCTTCATCGCTATATAATCTTGAATGTTCTAATTCTTATTCTGAAAATTCTACTTCATCATTATATGCTACTAAATATCCAACTTCACTATCTAATTATGAACAATTTACTTTACCTTCTGATAAGCCTGAAAATCTTACTTCACCATTGGATAGTTTTAACGATTCTGACTCCTTAAATCTTAACCCTATACAAAATACTAAAAAACATAAATCAGTGTTTATAACATCATCTAATAAAAAACCAAAACCTGAAAAAAGTTGAGTATGAGATCATATGAGAAAAAATAAACTTGTAAAAAAAGAAACAATATGTTTAGTTCCAATTAAACAAGATGGCAAAATAGAAAAATGTGAAGAAACTTTTGCTCTTCTTACCAGTATAAGCACATTAGGTGCTTATTTACGTACAGTACACCATTTGTCAGAAAATAGTAAATTATTACCCTTATCAGGTGCATCTGAACTATTAGTTTTCAAAAAACCTATTCATATAGCACAAAAAGATCCTACTCAACTTACATTATTAGATACAATAAAAAAACAACTATTACTATTTTCTAAAAAAAAAGATAGATTAACTTCTAGACTTCTTGCATAGATTGTTGACAATATGCAAGCACTTAGTATACTAGACAATAATAAATTTTGTGATTTTATATATGAAGCAGAACCTCGTTACCTGATTCCATGCCAAGATATTTTTTAAAAAAAAATATATGAAGCAGTTAATTATAGAGAAAATAAAATTCTTACTCTTTTCCAAATAACAATAAATACTTTTTCATTTACAACTGACCTTTGGTCAAATATGCACAAACCATATATTAGAATCACAGCCCATTGGCTTGATTCCAATTTTAGTTTAAATCAAATACTTATGACTATCAAGAAGTTATTTTATCCCCATACAGGGGAACATATTGAAGACTTTCTAAGATATTAGTTTTCTAAATGAAATATTTCCGAAAAATCATTGCTGGAATAACTGATAATGCTACATCAATGGTTAAGGCCCTTACTAACCTTGGAATTATTCATATTCGTTGCATAGCATACACTCTTCAGCTTTCTGTTATGGATTCTTTAAAATCTGAAGAAGTAACAAAGTTAATTAGTAAAGCCAAGGAATTAAATAGTTTTTTAGTGAATAAAGATAAATATAGAGAAATGCTTAAAAAAGTACAAGAAGAAATAAATAAAAAAATAACTTATGCACTAAAAATAAATACAAATTTTAGAACCAGTAGCTACAGCATCTGCTACACATTGGAATTCAACATTTGTACTTTTAGAACGTTTGCTATTATTGTATAAATTAGTACAATTATTTACTAAAAAAATAACTCAAGATGTTGATCAAGAAATTCGTAATGATGGAAAAAGACTAAATACTCTATTGTTAAATGAAAGTGAATTATTAGGTCTTAAAGAACTTGTGATTTTATTAGAACCTTTTGCTCATGCAACATCTTTAATGGGTAGTAGTACATATCCTACACTCTCTCTTATGCTTCCAACAATTGCGACCCTTCAAGAATATTTGTTTAAAATAGAACCAGTGCTTACTTCTCAAGTTGTTCGTAATGTTAGAGATGAAATTGAACTTAATATTGCTGATCGATAGGAAGATCCAAAAATAGAAGAATATTTAGCTGCAATCTTAGATTCTAAATTTAAAAATCTGGAATTTGCTCCTGAAAAATTTGAAGAGATCAAAAAATGTCTAAAACAAAAAATGCAAGCACTAGATGAGAGTGAAATTTTGGATGAGCAACCAACAATAAAACTATTTTCAAAATTGGCATCTTTTTTTAACAATGCTCCTATCATTAAAAAAATTACCTCTCCAGTTGATATAGAATTAAAGACATATTTTAAATTACCTCAAATGATACTATATGATCCCAATGATCCAGAATATAAAACTGAAAATCTACTTTCTTGGTAGCAGTTATATTCATTGACATTACCTCTACTTGCACAATTAGTTCACCAGTATCTTGCGATTCCAGCAACTTCTGTCCCTTCTAAACATTTATTTTCAATAGCAAGAAATGTATTAACAGATCAAAGAAATAGACTACTTCCTGAAAGTGTTCATGATCTGGTTTTTTTAAAAGAAAATAATAACAACTTCAATATTTACTCAGATCTTAAGTAGTCATACTTAATTAACCTATAAGCTAAGATATTAATATGTTAAATAACTTAATATTTTTAAATAGTTTCACTTCAGAATTTTTGCCAGTATGTGTTTTAAATAATATTTCAATCAATTTCTTAGTTGTATACAAATCCCAGGGCTATTATTAATACTATGTGTAGTTTTCTTTTTTTTACTTTTTAATAAAAAGTAGAATTAGTTTTTTCTTTACTATAATCAAATAAAAAATAGTTGTACATATATACATACTTGTACGTATATACTGTACATATTGAATATCATATCTGATATGTACTGTATATATGTATGCGTAATTTCATTGGTGAATTTGTATCATGTGATGGTGTCACTAAAAAAATCGACTTTCGGTTAAAAACTGAAATTTATAATCGACTTGAACTGACTTAATTAAGTCGATTTTTAAACATCGACTTAATTCACTAATAACTACTATCATGCATCCTACAATAACCACATAACTCATATAGTTCCTCTCAATATAACAACATATCACTATTTGAACTTGCTATACAAAAACTTTCAGCCTAGCCAATAAATTAGATCAAATATGGCTTCTCTACTAATTCTATTCTCTCTAATCAAGTCTAGGTAAGTCTTGACCACTCTAGTAGGTTTAGGTCACAGGTAATTCTAATATAGCTTTAGCTTTAGGTTAACTCTAGTTTTTTAGTTATGTTATTATCATCTGAGCTTCAATTCTTGTATGTAATTTATTACCAAGTAGTTTCATATGAACTCTTAACTATATTTTACCCAATAAAGATAGAAGCAAGACCTCATCTCAACTCACAGGTTAAAATTAAAAAAAATAATATATACAAATATGTATAATTAGAAGTCTTACTGTAGACTAGTATTAATCCTTACTCATATTTAGTAAAATTAATATATTAAAATATTGGATTTATCAAATTTATTGAATTAAATCAATAATAGACAAATAGTAATTAAAATTACTATTTGAAAAAAATTCGATTTAATTGATATTTCAATAATATTAATTAAGTTCTAAATGTATTTACTATAATCTTGTAAGATATATAAGCACTGCATTTTTTCTTCAATAAAAAATCTAGCTTACTGTGAGTTAAATAAAACAATTTCAAGTTTTGAGAATAAATCTCACTCTATAGTAACTCTAATACTATATTCTTAATCTACAATTACTCTCCTTTCAAATATAAATAAACTGATCTTGATCTTAATAAACCTAAACCAAATCTTTTATGACCTCTTTTGATACCTTCCACTATTAGGATTATTGTTAGTTTAGTAGTAAATTATGAATATTAGTTAATAAAACTAATATCTTGACCTACTTTCAAACCTTAGACTCCTATTTAGCCTTCAATAACAATTCTTGCAATCTTGTAAATTGAATTAATTATTTTTATTCTTTAGATAAAAATAATCTAGAGAATCAACTTTATCCTTTAGATAGAAAAGATCCAAATTATCTTTTTTATTGTTTTATCTTTCTTATTTTTTTTATATGTAAATTTGTCTATAAAAGCAATACAAGTTGCTCTTAAATAAAATAACTTTTATAAGTTTAACTTTGGAAAGTCTAACTTTTGAATTTAATAACTTTGAAGTTTCTTACTTTGATAAGTTAGTTGTTTATAAGTCAAATACTTCAAAATTCAAGTAAAAGTATTGTAACCTTGTTTTCTTATTTGTTATAAACTTAAATTATTAAAAGAATCATTATAGTTAAAACTTTATTATAATCAGAATAGATCAGTTTAAGGCTAACTATAAATGAATTATTTCTTATATAGCTTTATTAATAAATTTTTTACTTAACAAGTTCTCATTATAAGATTAATAACCAATTGCAAAGAGAACTAGATCATATGCTATCTAATCCTTTTTGAAAGTATAAAAATCTAAAAGACTAAAACTGAAAGAATAATAATAAAAGCTCAAAACTAAATAATACTTGCCTAAGAAAATTCTCTTTGCAACTTTAAAATCTAGACCAAATCCTTTACACCCTTTTTTAGCTTTCCAACTTAAGAGTTAATTGCTAGATTTGTAGTATTTATTTGTTTATTAGAATATGAATTTAGATATAACTAGAACCTCCAAACAAGTTATATACCAGAACAGTTTTAATATGAAAATAGCATTTGAATAAAATGCTATATTGGGTTTAGTTTGAAGTAAAGCTCATTGAATAATAGCTTTATATTATAATTATATAAATAAATTATTGTAGCTTATAGATTCTTTCTCTTCTCTGATTCAAGAAATTGTATTTAATCTAAATAAAAAATAAACAAAAAAAAACTTACCTAAGCCTAAATAGAAAAATTTTAAAAACATATTGAAAAGAATATTTACATAATTTAATTTGATCACAATGAATTCTTCTTAGCTAAAAGAATTAATAGAGAATATAATTATATTTTTTGAAGATATAGCTAAAGGCATAGTCCAAAAAAATAAGTTCAGATTCAAAGAGGCTAATTATATTAAAGTCCAAAGTTACTATAGTAGTAACAAAGAGAATCTAATTAAATAGTTTAATAACTTTGAAAAGCTACTAAAGCTAACAATTAGCTAGACTAGTATAGGTTAAAAATTACTTTTAGATATTTGGAAGAACTGGCTACTGAATAATTTAAAGATAACAAAACTAACATAAACTATTAAAAAAATAATACTTAAAAGAACCAAAGTTTTTATTATTTATTAGTTTCTTTTTTTGCTATGTTCAAAAAACAGTATAAGTAGTATATCAAATTAAATACTCTTATTCAACAAGAAAAAGAAAAGGTAGACTCTTATACAACTAAGTTTAAGAAACTATTAAGTCAAGTAGATTTAGTTGCCTCAAATTCGTCTTTTATACTACTAATATTTTATAAACAACTACTAAATTAACAATAATACTAATAGTAGAAGGCATTAAAAGTGATCATAAAAGATTTGGTTCAGGTTTATCAGAGTTAATGTCAGTTTATATTATTGAAGAGTAATTATAGATTAATGAATATAGTATTGAGCTATTATGCAAAAAGTTTTATTTTTAATTTTGTGACTGTTTTTATTAAACTCATAGTGAGCTGAGTTATCTTTATTGAGAAAAAAAATATAGCATTTATATACTTTATAATACTATAGTAAGTACAATAAATATGTATGATTTATTGAATATATTCCCTATATCTAATATTTTATAATTAATATTATACAAAAAAGTAAAAAAAACCTAACAAAAATAGTTAGTTTTATAAATATATTAATATGAAGATCTTATATTAATACTATTACTATATAACTTTGCAAATTGTAGATATATATAATAGCAAGTTGCTAATTATATCAATATGTTAGAATTTTAATATGAAATCATGTATGAAATAATTAAATATTTTAATTTTAAATTGACTACCTAAAATAATATTAATAGTCTAAAGTAATATCAATAGTTTAAATAATATAAATAGTCTAAAATAATATCAATAGTCTAAAATAATATCAACAGTCTAAAATAATATAGCAGTTAATAATATATCAGTAGTCAATAATAATATCAGTAGTTAAAAAACATTTTAATATGTAATATTTTGAAGTATTATAGTGAAAATACTTAAAAAATTTTATCTGACCAACTGTTAAAAATTATCTCTAATTTAGATATCTATATATAAACTCATATATAGATAATAATATAATATTTTATTTTATTAGATTTTTTAAAAATTATCTATTAATAGTTTTTTTTATATAAAACCTATTTTTATTATATTATTTTTAATAGAATGTATGATTATAATATATTAGAACATACTTATAAACTTAATAAAAAAATTATAATTTGATCTAAAGAAAATTTTTACTGATAGTAAATTGATCTTTATCTATAAATTAAAATATTGATAGTGCAGAATTACATATAATTTTATAATTTTATAATTTTTAATAATTTTAGTTTTTCAGAGCTAAAAAGAAATTGAAATATATGAATATTGAAAAGTTATAAACTAGTTTTAGTATAGAACTTGACTAGGAGTTTGGTTACTTCTATGTTTTAGTTTATAAACAATCAACTCTAAGTTGAAAGATAAAAAGATAGTATAGAGAATTTGGTTTAAGTTTTAAAGATCTTATGAATTATTTTTAAATTATAGAAGTAGATATTTTTAGATTCTAAATTCTTGTTGATTCTATTTGGTCTTTTAACTTTTCTTATAAGAATAATTTCTGTTATATGATATATGATCTGGTTTATTCTCTTGATTATACTAATAGTTTAATAATAATGCAAAGTTTATCAATAAAACTATCTGAAAAACAATTGATTATTGTTTAATTTGATATAAATTTGAATTATTATAAGGAGATAGTCTAACAATAATAATAAGAATCTGTATTAGGAAGTTACTAGGTAGTTATTTTTAAATTCAATTTCAATATAATAGGACTTTTTTAGTACTTAATAGAGATAGTATTTGGTTAGCTTAGTTTAATTTAGTTTGAAAACTCTTTGATTTAAGAGATAAGTAACTAAATCTAGTTTATAAGATTTATAATATATGTAATTAATTTATATAAAAATTAATATTATAATTATTTTTTATTTAATAGTAAATATTATTTATTTAATCTATAGAAATTATATAGTATATGAAATAAAATATAAGCTTTAATTTTATCAGATTTTTTAAATTTTAAATATTATTATCTCAAATATTTTTTCATAAGGTAAATATAATACTTTCACTTTTTGTTAATAATTACTATATAGTATATTT